TGTATTTATTGTATAAATTAAAAATATAATAATTATATTTTTTATAATTAATTTATATAAAAAATCACAAAAATTGATATTTATTCTAATGTTATTATTACATAAATAATTTTAATTAGTCAATTGATAAAATAAAAGTCAATATTTATATTTTTGTATAAATTTAAGGTTTAAGTACCATTTTAGTCCCTCAACTTATCACTTTGGTACCAAAATTGTCCCTCAGCTTTAAAAAGTACCAAAATTATCCTCAAACTTTCATTTTTAGTACCAAAATGGTCCTTCCGTCAGTTAAACGCCAGGTGGCTCGTTAAGATGCCACAAAATCACCGGCTTTTTTCATTTTTAATGACGTGTAAATCTAGCAAGGACATTTTTGACACCGTGGCATTTTTACACGTCAGATTGCTTCCCCACTTTTCAGATTCACTTTTTGTGGGGCCCACATAACAAAAAAAACAAATTGTTTTCTTTTTCCAGTTTTAGTTGAGTTCCCCAACAGTGGCAGTGTTCTTCGTCTTCGTTTCTCTGTCATTTCCCTTTTCAGGATCGATTCGAAACCAAAGAAACAGAGCAAGAAAAACAGAGAAACCAAACAAAGCAAGAAGCCAAGGAAACAGAGCAAGAAAAACAGAGCGAAACCTAGAACCTACGTTCTTCGAGGAACCCAAGAACCCAGAACTGGGTTCTTCACGAAACCCAGATCTGGGTTCCTCACGAAACCCAGAACCCAGAACTAAGTTCCTCAAGGAACTGGGTTCCTCAAGGAACTGGGTTCCTCAAGGAACTGGGTTCCTCAAGAAACCTAGCACCGTCTGGGTTCCAGGAAGAACAAAGATGAATAGGCGAAGATCAGATCTGGGCGACGGCCGCCAGATCTGGGAATTCCAGCGTGCAGCTCGGTAGATTTGCGTGAGGGAGCAAGGAGCCGTGAGACCTGCAAGCAAGCGGGCAACACACAAAAACAGGAAACAAAGAAAACAAACAAAAAACAAAAACCCAAAAAAGGCACCCGAAGGGCCTAGTCGTCGAGAGACCTCATGGGGTCATCGGAGCAGGGAACAGGCCGGCTCCATCGGGCTTGAGCAGCCGGAGAACCCAGCGGCTCAAGCAGCAAAACTCGGAAGCCCAAGGCTTCCGAGCACAAAAACAACGGGATGCCGGAGAAGATGATCAGAAGCCGGAGAACCCAGATCTGGAGAGGAAGAAGAAGAGGGGAAGAGAGGAGAAAGAGAAAGAATAAGAAAAGTTAAAAAAAGTCATGTGGACCCCATTAAAAGGGAAAGTTTAAAAGGTGAGTAAAAAAATATGCCACGTATAAAAAAAAAATGCCATGGTAACAAAATTTTCATAGTTGGAGTTACACGTCATTAAGATTCAAAAAGTTTAATGATTTTGTGGTATTTTAACGAGCCACCTGTCATTTAATTGACGGAAGGACCATTTTGGTACCGAAAATGAAAGTCTGAGGATAATTTTGGTACTTTTTAAAGCTGAGGGACAATTTTGGTACCAAAGTGATAAGTTGAGGGACTAAAATGGTACTTAAACCTAAATTTAATTATAAAAAATACAACAAATATACATTTAATCTATGTACAACGGATGATAGAAAAATCCTTCAAAAAATTATAAAATCTCACTTTTTAATCTGATTCCTTTCCTCTTGGAACTCCATACAAATTTGATTTAATTGTTTCGTTTCCCACCACATGCTACATTCATCATGAATTAAACATTAATTCTTTATCATTTATATTTAATTTCTCTATCTTATATTCCTTCAATCCCTTCAATTTGTCCCTCCTTTTTCTTTCGGGAAATGATATGGATACACTATCCCGTTACACCTTCCGTCACACATTCATTTTGTTTCCATTTCTCTCCATTTTTTTCGTTAACCCAACAACTCTCATCTTCACCCAGCACAACTCTCCTCTTCACCTAGCATTGGTTTTTTTTATTTTCAACCTTCTTCCTTCTTTCTCCTCTTCCTCCTTTCTTTTTGTTCTTTGAGTTTAGGTTCTCAAGGAGAACCCAAATCTTGGTTTCTCCAGATTGGGTTCTCTATTTCGCCCGTTTTGCTTATAGGTACGGGAAGAGGTACGAAAGCGTGGAGGAGATGGAGCTCTAGTTTCAAATTTTCAAGGAGAATTTGGAAGAGTTTCAAAGACACAGATTGGGAGCTGCTCAAAATTAATGGAAACGTTAGTGTGTCAAAATTAATACAAACTGTTGGAGTGTGTAACAAGTGTGTAATGGGATCGTGTGCATGAATCATGGTCCTTTTCTTTAATTCTTCTTTCACCATTCCTTCTCCCACACATAGTTTCACAGGAAAAACACTCACTTACTTTGCTTCAAGCAACTTGGGCCAAATTGGCTGTTAATCCTTCAACTTATTCACGGTAGACCAATCTAATCTGCTTTTGATTTCATGTTTTTGTTCCTCATCTGAAAAGTTCTTTTTGCTTTTTACATGTAAGTTTGGGACTTAACGTAGGGTTTTGTGTTTTTCATGTGTTTTGCCTCTGCGAAAAGGAAATTCTACTAAGAAAAGAAGGCAATCTGTAGAAGTGTGGTTTTACCTGAAAATCGTCTTCTAACAATTTGCTGCTCATAATAAAATCAAATTTCAATTATAGTCTGCTGAGTGATGAAGATAAAGACAATGAGGTCTGGTCATTACAGAGCTCTATAGATGTAGAGTTAGATTCATACGACCAAGTGAATTTTCAATTGGAAAGACTTGAGGTTAAAGATGATGATGTGGCAGAGGTAAATGAAGGGGATGTTGAACCGTCGTTGAAGAACAGTGTCAATGGTGGCAATGAAGTTTCCATTTGCCTCAAGACATCAAGCAAAAAGGAAGGTTGTAGATTTAAAAATTTGCAATTACAATAACATCTTCTTGAAAGAGATTGAAGGGGAGGTTGGGAGAGTGTCATCCAATGGTTGTGGGGAACAAAATTTAAATTATAATGAGCAAGATGGTTCCGGTAGCTTAATGGGTGCTGATAAAGTGGAATGCTCAATCGAGGAAGGTAGAATAGAAGGTGATGCGTTAAGGGGTTCATCGTAGGATTTGGGCCTAAAAAGTGAAGGGGCCTATTGTAAGGAGAATAAGCTAAAGGGGCCTAGTGGAGAGGAGGACACAAGAAATAGCCCAATTAAGAATAATCTAAGTGGGCTGGCAACAAATGAAAATATACGAGCCTCCAAATGGTTATGCCAACACCACCCTTATACCTATATGAGCCCTACATATGCAATTGATTAAGGTGCCATTGAGGTTTGATGGTGGACCTTTTATGAGCTTTGGTGAAAAGAATAGAGATGGTCAAATCTCACGAGGCACATAGAAAAGAATACCAAGGAATTTTGAAGTTTCCCCCAAGCTAAGGATGCAAAGGGGAAAAGGAAGTTGGCTCTAAATGCATTTGAAGATGGAAGGGGTGCCTAAGGTTAGACTGGACGACTTAGGCACTATAATGGCAATGCATGTAGATGTCTTTCATCCATTTGCATATTAGAAATTTATCTGAGTCTAGATAGAGTATTGTAGTGCTAGGAGACACTACATCACCATGTCTTATGATCTCTCATGCTAGGACTAAATGATAAGATAAATGTGGTTACCAATAGCGAATAGAAAGTTCTAGAGTAATATAATCTGTCTTTACATAGTTTTATTAATACTCCTATGATGTATGCTAATATTTAAAGGTTCTCAAGACTTAATTATTTTACTTGTCATGAAAATTATATTAGCTTTTTATGTTAGTATCATAGGTCCTTCCTAGCATGCTTTATATTTTTCACATAGCATGTATGCTAAGGTATAATTTTCATTTTAATTTATTCAACTATTAATACAATTATATTTTTATTTTTATTTTAAAAAAAAACTACTTTGTTAGGGGTCATTAAAGAAGCATTTTTTTAGGTATATAAAAACTAGGGATTAAACCATAGACCTATAGCTAAGACTGTAAATAACTCTATTATCAAATCACATGGCTGATAATTAAAGAAGCATTAGTTGGTTCTGCTCAATATCATGGAAAAATAAGTTTAAGGTTGTTTTTGACATTCACGTTCCTAGTCATTGCATGGCACATTTGGGGTGTCATAACTCAATTTTGATCCGATATCTATTTGAAAATTACTTATAAATTCAATTTTAAAGTTTCATTGAAAAATTAGGAAATGAATGGGGAAAAAGGAAAAGAAAAAATAAATTAGACTTTGTTGCAAAGAGCTAAGACTTTGAAATTGTGACTTGTAGGACTTAGCTAATAAAATAAGAAGTCAAGGGACTAAATTGATGAATGTACAGAAGATTTGGATCGAAAGATTCATGAAACGACGTTGTTTCTATCGTAGCTGAATTAATACCTGTAGCTGCTTAGAATTCTCACATTCTGATGCTTTCCAAGTCTATTGCCTCCCGATTTCTTTCCCAATTTTGAATTTTTCTCTCTTGATTTTATCTCTAATTCCGCTTGGGTTTGCTTGAATACAGCATAAAGAGAGATTTTCAAAGCTAAGGTTAGTCAATCGAGGAATCGGAGTGGAGCTACAAGCCACAAGCAACAGGGGAAAAACTCCGAATTTAACATTTGTAGCATCTCCCCCATAAACTCCGCGCTTTCTCGGGACGCAAGAAATTAAAACATGGTTGATACCCTCCTACAAAGAGAACACACTAACTCTTTTATATTAAGCAGGATGCCCCTCCGATCCTCATGAAAGAAACTCTATACATGGCAGCCCCTGAGACAACATGCGCCAACCAAAGCAGCTAACCTTTGGAGGGAGAAACTTAATTACCCCAAGGCTATTTAGTTATTTGCCTCTCAAGAGAATTGGTTCTTGATTAGCCAGAATAATATACGCCTTCTTGGAGGAATATTCTTCTGCCGAATCAAAGCTCCATATTCTCTTGTAACTTCTTGCTTCAACCAGGTTGCAGTTCTGGTGAATATCTTAGAGACCAGCTTTCCTCATTCAATTCCCTGCCAAAAGGAGACCTTCTCCGACTATATTTCTTTAATTGTTTTTATTTTATTCCAGTAAGTCCATGGACCTTATTTTATTTTATTATTTTTAATTGTATTTAACTAAATTTTTTATTTTTTTTAATTTCTCAAATAATTTTAAAATTAATTATCTTTCATACTTAATTAATTATAATAACTGGAAGAACAATTAATTAATACTTTATTTATTATTATATTACTTACATAACTAGTACATTTATTAGTAAATTTAGCACATCAAACCAGCTTTCCTTGTAACGCCCTTTTCAGGCCAAACGTCTGCAATTTTATCCTCTTTAATTATTAAACTTTAGAACGTACACCTTTTCATCTTATGGATTCCCGTCCAACGTGCCAACCCCAATCAAATGAAATTTTTAATTTGATCTCTCAACTATTATATATATTTTTAATTTGATCTTTAAATTAAAAAAATTTTAATTTGATTTTTATTATTTATCAATTTAACTTTAAGTTGATCCTTTCATTAAAAAATAATTAATAAGTTCATTACTTAACGATCACGTATCATATTAATAATGAGACACGTCATTTATTTTTATGCAAAAAGATCAATTTAAAACTAAATTGATAAATAATAAAGATCAAATAAAATATTTTTTTAATTCAAAAACCAAAATAAGGTCTGTACAACAGTTAAGCAACCAAATTGGGGTTTAACAATTTTGATTACACTCTTCACCAATTCATCAACCAGAAGCTCAATCCTTCTCAAATTGGACCCAATCACCGTTTGACCCATCATTGACCCACAACCATGCTCCAACATGTCGAAGTCTGGCCCACCTGTGATTCATCGGCCCACCTGTGTCCTACCTCTAATTTATACTACCAAATATCTGAACAAATGCAACAGCCAAAAGTTGATGTATGTCAATCATCAGATGTTGTTAATGTTGAACAGAAATCTATTTTAGCTGCGCCTAATGCTGTCAATTCTTCTTTACCAGATTTATAGCAATTCCTTCTCGGTGTCCAAATCTGGAAGACTCAGTTTCAAGATGTAACAAAAAAATTAGGTGTGTATTCTATTTACCTTCCATGGCTGCAACAAATGTCACCTTACAGGAACAAAAGATTTTTAGACACGCACAACTATTTCCTGTATGGAAGAAAGAAGTGGGGGAAGAATATTCACCTCTCAATTATTCGATATAGTGCATCCTTTTTAGTGCCTCCGCGTTCTCATTCTAAGCGGGCTTATCGGGTTAAGCAGCATGCAGATGGTT